ATAAAATGTTTATATATATATATATATATATATATATATAAAATTTTGGGAGCTCTGGTAGCACAGTGCCTAAGGCACTTGACTGCTAACCAGAAGGCTGGCTGTTCAAACCCACCAGCCGCTCCTCAGAAGGAAGACGGGGAAATCTACTTCCATAGTGATACTGCCTCAGAAACCCAAGGAGGGGTCACTATGAGTCGGGGCTGACTCGACGGCACATAACAACAACAACAACATATATATATAATTTTAGTTTTCACTTGAAGATCCTTGATCCATCTTGAATTGTTTTTTGTATATGGCATGAGGCATAGATTCTTGTTCATTCTTCTACATGTGGGAATTCAATTTTTTCTTGCTTTTTAAGAAATAAAACATTTCCTTTTTGCTTCAAAAACTGAGGACTTGTCTATAATCATTACTTCTTCATTTCACTTTTCTCTATTCTCCTACTGAGAGTGAGTACTTAGACTGTGGGCTCAGGACCATGGTCACAGGGATCAAGCTTAATTAACACATTACACAAAAACATTACTCTACATCCTACTTCAGTTAGTAACAACTGGCGTCTTAAAAACTTGTAAGCAGCCATCTACATGCAACAATGAGTCTTTCCTTATCCAGAGCAAAGAAGAATGAAGAAAACTAAAGCCTAATGGAAGCAATGAGTGCAAGTGACTAGTAGACCACGTGATGCTCAGCCTACATGACCATGAGATCAGAGAATTAGATGGTGCTGGGCTACCACTGTCAACCACTCAGAGGGGGATTGGTGCAGGAGATCCTGGATAGAGTAGGAGAACAATGTGGAACGAAACTCAAAATCATTTTTAAAAAAGACCAGATTTGCTGCTCTGACCGAACTTGGTGAGATCCTTGAGGCTATGACCCCTAGTTACCCTTCAGGTCTGGAACTGACCTCACTCCTGTGGCTTCCAGCCAAACCATAGACAGGCATATCTACATCAGGTAGATACACAACTTGGAATGATCAGTCATGGGAAAACACAAGGGCAGTCTTTACACAGGGAGATAGCTCAGGGGATGAGAGTCTGAGAGGAAAGGACACAAGAAAGAGGTAATATGGGGAGGAAGTAGGAAGAGAGCTGTTGCATTGTGGGGAATTTCAGTCAGTGTCACAAAACAAAAAGTGCATGAACTACTACTGTATAGAAAATGAATTTGGTCTGTAAACTTTCACCCAAATCACAATAAAAATTTAAAAAAAAAGGAAGAAAAGAAAATTCTTCCAGCGAAAAACTAAATGCTAATTGTCTTTACTCTTTTCTCTTGAGTTTCTAGAACCTATTTCTCACTTCTATTTATTTACTTATCTGTGTAATTATCACCTGCCTTGCTCTTCTTGGGTTCCTCTAAAGCTGGTATTTCTGAAGCTTCCCTGCCTCCAGGCTTGCTGACTTGATCAACAGTCCATCTTCTATAGTTCACTGTACTTTGTTGTGACTCTTCTAAAATGCACATCTGAGGCTACTGTGAGTCCATGGGTGATGAAAATGCTTAATATTCTTAGCTGCTAACAAAAATATTGGAGATCCAAGTCTAACTACAGACACCTCAGAAGAAAGACTTGGAAATCTACTTCTGATAAATCAACCATTGAAAACCTTTTGGAGCATAATCCTACTCTGACACACTGACCTGAGTCAATGGCAACTGGTTTAATTGATGGTTTCTACTGATTTATATATAACAGTGGCTAGGGTGGGTAGCAGTGGGGTTTCACTGGCTCCCAATTGACTAGAAATTAAAATTCCATGGCATGGTATTGATGACCCACCAAGACAGTGCTCTTTCCTATTCTCAGACTGCAGAAGAATTGATGCATTTGAATTGTGGTGTTGGTGAAGAATACTGAACGTACTATGGACTGCTAGAAGCACAAACAAATTTGTCTTTGAGGAAGTACAGCCAGAATGCTCCTTAGAAGTGAGAATGCCAGACTTTGTTACTCATACTTTGGTCATGTTGTCAGAAGGGACCAGTTCCTGGAGAAAGATATCATTCTGAGTAAAGTAAAGAGTCAGGGAAAAACGAAACACTTTCAATGAGATAGACTGACACAGTGGCTACAAGGATGCACTCAAGCATGGCAACAATTACAGGGCCAGGCAGTATTTTGTTCTGCTGTACATAGGGTCACTATGAGTTGAAACTGACTTGATGGGTCCTAACAACATCTTTAGGAGCTCTGGTAGCACAGTCCCTAAAGCACTTGACTGCTAACCAGAAGGCTGGTGGTTCAAACCCACCAGCCACTCCTCGGAAGGAAGGTTGGGCAATCTACTTCTGTAGTGATACTGCCTTGGAAACCCAAGGAGAGGTTGCTATGAGTCATTTCCAACCCGAAGGCACATAACAACAACAACATCCTTATCACTCTCAGCATCAACACTCCCCATGCAACACATGCTCTTAGTTCCAGCCCTGTGGAGTTCCTGTCTTTTTATTGGTTCATGATTTGTCTTTGTTCTAGATGCTCCCTCTTTTAAAATTAAGATTCTGATTCAGTAAGTATGGAGTGAGTCACAATTTTTCATTCTGTATGTGCTCCTCAGTGATGCTGGTACGGTTGTCCCACACCTCACTTTGAGTATGAAACCTAGAATTTTTCCTTTCTAAAATGGATTTATTTTTTATTTCAGTGTCTGAAAACTCCTGGCCCAGCTATTTCTACCATTCAAATTATTTCAATAGAAAAATGTGTGTCTGTATGAGATGCTGTGAGTTAGGGGTTAGGGATGGACCACAACATGGAGGTGCAAAGCCACAATGAAACAGAATGATGTAACAGCAGTGTTGTTGTTGTTGTTATGTGCCATCAAGTCGACCCCGACTCATAGTGACCCATCCTTGGGTTTCCAAAGCAGTATCACTACAGAAGTAGAATTGCCTAACCTTCCTTCTGAGGAGTGGCTGGTGGGTTTGAACCGCCAGCCTTCTAGTTAGCAGTCAAGTGCCTTAGGCACTATGCTATCAGAGCTTCTGTAACAGCAGTGGTTAACTCAAATGTCTCTCCACATCTCTATTAAAAAAAAAAAAAATAGATAAATTCATGTGCTATGGCAAACATTTATAAACTACAAAAGAAAATCCAAGTAATGCCACTCTTTAGTATAATTCAGTGATTTATTCATTCAAATATTAATTAAGCATCTATGATGCAGCCTGCTGGAAATAAGACTACAAACGAGGTAGACCTGGACCAAGACTTGATCATCTATAATCTAGAGTAAGGATCAATAACCTAAGGCCTATGATCAACTCCAGCCTGCTACCTAGTTTAGTAGTTTCATTAGAAGAGTCATGCCCTTTCATGTGCATGCTGTTTTCTGTGTCTGCTTTCATGCTACAATGGCACAGGGGAACAGTTGCAACAGAGACCTTATAGACCAAAAATCATAAAATATTTACTATTTAGTGTTTTACAGAAAAAGTTTGCTGACTCCTAGCCTAGAGGAAATGGGTAATATAATTTTCTATGCAAACTCACTGCCATTGAGTCAGAACCGACTCATAGTGACCCCTCTTTGGGTTTCCAAGTCAGTGTCACTACAGAAGTAGATTGCCCAATCTTCCTTCCGAGGAGTGTGGCTGGTGGGTTTGAATGGCCAATCTTCTGGTTAGTAGTCAAATGCCTTAGGCACCACACCACCAGAGCTCCCTTTTCTATGCAAAGGGCTATTTTTTTTTCAGATTATCCTTAAGTATTGAATGATTTAAAACTATTTTAAATTCCTTTTCCTAATTGTTTATATATAGAAATAAGTGCATGATTTTTTGTATTGACTTTGTAGCCAATGAATTTCTTAATTCACTTATTAATTCTAATAGTTTATCTGTTGATTCTTTAAGACATTCTATCATAGAATTATGTTGTCGACAAATAACAATTTTATATTTTCTCTTCTAATTCTTATATAATTTTAATCTACTGCATTAACTAGGACTACCAGCATATACATATACATATATATATACATACATACATATATCACATAGGCTTATAGGAAATATCCTGTCTTTTTCCTAATCTCAGATGGAATTTTTTTCTAATACAAAATTTTCATGAAATACCTTCATGTATTCATGGAATCATATATTCTTGAGAATACCTACATACTTACCTGATTTTTCAAATTACATATTTTATAACCTAATCTTATTACTTAATTGTTGCATCATTAAATGTTATTAAATATCTTCTAAAATATTTTAGAAAATTCCTCTGGTTGATTCTTTTTCAATCTTTGGCTCTATAAGGTATTAAAAACTGATTATTGAATTGATCAATTGAATATAACCAATCTTCAGCCACTCCACCCACTCATCAAACTTAATCTCAATATAATGGAATAGCCCAACACACTTCTCATTGCATATCATTGAATGCATAGATATTTACTGAAAGCTTCCCAGGGACGAAGAGGGATCAACACTACAAATCAAGGTAATAATTTACATCATTGGCCCAAATACTTTTTTCTCATAAAAATATTGAAAACCTCCACCATTCTCCTTACCCTCACCATCTCTCCCCACCACCCTAAGTTCTTTCCCTTTATCCTTTTGTATATAAGACTAATTGTGTCCTCTTGTAATTTAATTTTTCCTGCCATTTTCATTTTGTCTAGGTGGTGGACAAGGGGAGACAAAAGTACAAGGAAGGACATCATGATATTGTTGTTCTTGTTAAGTGCCATGGAGTTGGTTCCAATTCATGCAACCCTATGCACAACAAAAAAACACTGCCCCATCCTGTACCATCCTCATAATCTTTGCTATGTTTGAGCCCATTATGACAGTACCAAGTATTATGATATGACAACTGCCTTTTTAATGGTTATTTATTATAAAGGTATTAAGACTTTTTATGAGTTTTTTAAAATTACAAACTTTTGAACTTTAGTTTTACAATTTATCTGATATATTCACAAAATATTTCAAAACACTTCTCCCTCACAAAAGAAAGAAGTCATTTTTTATGTTACCTTAAGGAGGCCCCACTTCAGATTCACAAGCATGTATTTGAGTGCCTTTGTCCACTGTTTTTCAGTGTTCAAGAGGGTCCTGATGGAATAGTATTTACCTCCAGCTCCAGGGTCTTCCATCTGGCCCCTCTTCACATTGATTCTGTAGGGCATGCGGAGACCTCTTTTCTCCGCCTCTTCCTTGAACTGCTGCAAACAGTCCAGGAAAGCCACCATCGCAAGGTCAAACGTATTATCCAAGAATACACTCTGCCCTCCATAACAAAATAATGGCAGCTCAACAGAGTCATCTGTTAGAGACTTCAGATAGGAATGGCTTCCACAGGGGACAAGTTGATACCTCTGAAATTCTAATCCCATTTTCTTGGACAGGGCTAGGAGCAGCAGAGCTGTCTGTCCCCAGGCAGCATTGATCTCACTCCAGCTCACAGGGACAGTGGGGAGGCAGCCCAGCTTGAAGTTATTGATGATGCCCAAAGAGCTTTCATGCCGTATGTCAAATACCATGTGGAAGATGGTGTTTTTGGTCAGCCGGCTCAGCTGGATCTGGGCGTACTGCAGCCGGTTCTCCAAGCTCATCAGCTCATCAAAAAGTTCCAGTTCTTGGAGTTTCAAGGCGCTGTAGTCTGTCTGGTACTGCTTCTCCTGCTGGTCCAACGCCTCAGTCTCTGCCTGGGCTTCCTCGAGATCTCCTGCTACCTGTTTCCAGTTCCTGTTCACATTATCCAACTCCTGGACCAACCTCACCTCCTCCAGCTGCAGGCCCTTCATCTCCAGCTGCAACATCTCCATCTCATCTTCACGTGTAGTCAGATCCCTGGTCTCCAAGCAACGTTTGTAGATCTGACTCTTAGATTCTGTGATCGTGAGTTTAGTGTCTAGCTGCTTTAGAAGATTGTCAGTGCACTCCACACACACAGGGTGATCTATATCTTTCTCACCAGAGAGGATGTCATGTATGTCCACGGTGGTCTTCTGGATGCTGTTAAGTGATCTCATGGCACCCACGTTCCCGACCAGGGTAAAGATGTCAGAATTCTCCCAGGATATGGAAGTCTCCCAGGACATCGTGCAGTCGTCCAGGAAGGGCCTGTAAGAAGCACCATCTTGTAGAGTTTGGGTATCTGTCTCCTTCCTGGAAGTAGGATCGAATTCCTGGGTCCCTTCTGACTTCCGGGGAGACAAGGGGAGCGGTGAAGCTGGCAGCTGATGAACGGTGCTGAGGCCCACGGTCCCCGCGGACCGATTCAGTTTCAGCGGCTGACTGCAGCACTGGCAAATGAAGCGGGTGGAGGACATGCTGGAAGTCTTGATGCTTATCCACATTTGAAGTTTTTCTGACTCCTCAGTTACTGATCATTTTATACCTTCTTAAGCTCCTTCTAGATGAGTGATTCTCATCTAAATCTCCCACTTAAAAACCTTACCATGTGATAACTCCTTAGATACCTACACCTCCTTTTTTAGCTCCTTATAGTCAAGGGATCCTTTCTAGATGGAAAATCTCTTCATTACCCTTTCCTTCTTTTACATTTTCAAGGCACACCTTAAGAGTAATATTCCTAAAACTGAAATCTGATGATGGTTCTTCCCTCCTTAAAGTGTTTTAATGCCTGTTATCTTGATTTTAAGATAAAATCTAATAATCTTTACTTGATATCCAAAGCCCCAGCCAGACACACTGCCAGCCCTGACAAAGGGAGGCTTCCAGAGGGCAGGGATTGATGATTCAGACCCACTGGGGAATGGTCCAGGAGTCTACATGTTTAGGAGCTTTGCCTAGACCATGTGTAAGGAGCTCTGTTGGTGCTGTAGTTAAAGCTTTGGGAGGTTAACTGAAAGGTCAGTGGTTCAAACCCACCAGCCATTCTGTGGGAGAAAGATCAGGCAGTCTGCTTCCATAAAGACTTACAGCCTTAGAAACTCTATGAGTAGTTCTACTTTATCCTATAGGGTAGCTATGGGTAGCTATTAGTTGGAATTGACTCAATGGCAGTGGGTTTTTGGTTTTTGTTCTTTTGTTTTGTTTTGTTTTGTTTTGTTTTGTGTTGTTTTGTTTTCAACAATGTGTTGAGAGACATTGCTCCATTGAGAGAACACACTTTCCTCTGGTGCCTTTCTGCCTGCAATCTTCAAAACCTGCTTAAAACTGTTACCATCTGCCATCATTTAACCATCCATAAGAGCTCTTATTTCCTGTCTGAAACTCTTCCTGGGAGGTGGCAAGATAAGCTGTATATCCTTTACAGTAAGGAAACTAAGGTGCAAAACGTTTAAACAATGAAGGAAAGAGCCTCTCTAGGACTCATGTCCTCTCTGAAAAGTCCTTGAATTGCCAAATACCTGTATCATCTTCTAGAAGCTGACTGCAGTGATCCCTACTCCTTTCCAGGAGATTTGGCGTTCTCCAGAACCTTACAAGAGGGCCAAAGAAGAAAGCCACTCTCAGATTAACTTGGAGATGGAGCAGCTGTTCAAAAATAGTAAAACAATAATCCACAATTTTCCATGAACTTAACAATGAGGATTCTACAATGCTTCAGAGGAGATGCACACTACCCCCTAAGATATGATCCCTGGTATAATGGTTGGAAGGGATCTGGTACACAGTTTGCTTTTCCTCACCCTCATTCTCCCAGACGAAAAGGACTGGGGAGCAACAGAATAAGATTGGACCAGTGTTAAATGTTGTGATCCTGAGTCCTGATTTCATTTCTGGAATTAGAATGGCAAACTAAATTCACTGGTAATGGCTAAGCCTAATTTTATCTTATTAAAAAAAAAAATTTGCGGGGGGGATTTTGGTGAAAGTTTACAAAGCAAATTGATTTTCCATTCAACAACTCTTACACATTTTGTTTGATGAGATTGATTGCAATCCCCACTATGTAACAGCCCTTTTTCCACTTCCTCCCCGAGTTTACTGTTTCCAATCATCATTCTTTTCTATCCCTTCCTGCCTTGTAAACTTTACCTCCGGGCAAATTCTACCTGTTTTGGTTACCCACTGCCATTCTAACAGAAGATACCACAAATGGGATGGCTTGAAGAAACAGGAGTTTATTTCTTACAGTTCTGTAGGCTAGAAGTCTGAGTTCAATGCACCAGCCTCTAGAGGCTGGGTGAAAGCCTGTTGACCTTGGGCTTCAGCTCTGCTTCTTGCTCCCAGCCCATTGAAGCTGCCGGCTTTTCTTCACTCAAGCAACTACTGGCTGCTGAGGCTGACAAGCCCAAGGTCGACAAGTAAAATGCCACAGTCCCGATAGTACCAAACCATATGACAGGCCATTAATTCAAGGCCTGACAAAGTGCCAAGGTCAGCAGGGCAACATGGCAGGCTGTTGAACAACAACTCAGCTACATGCAGGGTTCAAGCATGCCAAAAAGCTAGAGACCTTCCTCAAAGCTGCTTCTTATATACTGGAAGCAAACCCCATCCCTAAAACAGCTACTCAGCTGCTCCAAGAGATTCCACTATGGAATTGATTGCCAATCTCACCATGGGGAATAACTATATCCAGCTGACCAGCCACTCAACCAGGCCCAGCCAAGTTGACAACAATCTTAACTACCACACTGGCCTTTTGATCTGGAATGTTTGGTTGTTCTAAGGAGTGCATACCTCCCTGGCAATATTGTTTACCTTTTAGGCCTGTCTGTTGTTTGACTGAAAGTTGAACCACAGCAATGTATTCAGTTCCAGGCTTGAAAGGTATCTAAGGGCCATAGTCTCAGGGGTCCCACCAGTCTCTAACAGACTAGTAAGCTTGATCTTTTTTGTGAGTTTGAGTTTTTTTCCACATTCTTCTGCCACTCTATCCAGGGCCTCCTATTGTGATTTCTTTCACAATGTTTGGCAGTGGTACCCAGGCACCACCTAGTTCTTCTGGTCTCAAGGTCATAGAGGATGGGGTTCACATGGTCCTTTAGTCCTTTGGACTAATTGTTTCCATGTGTCTTTGATTTTCTTCATCTTCTTTGATCCAAATGGGGAGAACCCAATGGTTACGCATTAGATAGACTTTCATAAGTTTTTATGACTCCCAGTTGCTACTCACCAAATTAGAACATAGAATGTTGTCTTTGTGGACTATGTTGTGCCAATTAATCCTGGTGGCATGTCTCTCCCTGAGACTATGGTCCTGAACCCCCAGCCTAGCAATTCATATTCTCAATGTGTTTGGTTACAGCTAAAAAGTTTTCATAACTTTGCCCCCTGTTTACTCTACTGTATTCATGGATATATTTGCATGTAAATTCATGAGTGCTGTCCCATTCACCTGCTCACCCTTGTTCAGCTTGAGTGTATATCTATGTATCCACCTTTAGATTATTGTTATTACTGTTATTGCAGGATTGTGTATCTAATAGTATTTATATCTGTTACCTTAATGTTTGTGCTCTTCCCAGTGTCTTCCTTTGCCTAGATTATTTTGTGCTGATATCCCCCTTATTGCACTTTGCTTTTCCATCACCTGAGTTAAATGCATCTGCCTTCAAGTGAGTGATTTATCCTCATTTTCCTTCCTTCCCTGGTAATTTTCAAAGAATGTTTCTTTCTGTGTGTAAATTTTTTCTTGACTTTTAACAGTTGTTGTTGTTATTTGCTGTCGAGTCAGACTCGACTCATAGCAACCTCTCCTTGGGTTTCCGAGGCAGTATCACTATGGAAGTAGATTGCCCCATCTTCCTTCCGAGGAGTGGCTGGTGGGTTTGAACCACCAGCCTTCTGGTTAGCAGTTGAGTGCCTTAGGCACTACACTACCAGAGCTCCTGCTTTTAACAGTTGTGGTCTCAAATACTATTTGTCCTTTTGTGATTGACTAATTTCACTCAGCATAATATCCTCTAGGTTTACCCATGTAATGAATTGTTTCACTGATTCATTGTTATTCTCTAATGTTGTGTAGTATTCCATTGTGTGTCTATATCATATTTTGCTTATCCACTCACCCATTGGTGGGCACTTAGGTTGTTTCATCTTTTTGCTATTGTGCTATGATGAACATGGGTATGCATATATTTGTCTGTGTCATGCTTTTATTTCTCTACAATAGACACCTAGTGGTGGGATTTCTAAGCCTCATTTTAATTACCCTTCGAATAAAACCAGAGTCCCCAGGTAATGCAAATTATTAACATGATTGGCTGCTAACCAAAAGGTTGAAGGTCTGAGTATACCCAGAGGCACCTTGGAAGAAAGGCCTAGTCATCACCTTCCTTAAAAACATCCATGAAAAACCTTAGGGAACATGGTTCTACTCTGACACACAAGGTTGCCATGAGTTGAAATCCACACCATGTCATCTAGGTTTTGTTGTTGTTGTTGTTGTTATTAGGTGTCATTGAGTTAGTTCTAATAATGACCCTATGTACACCAGAATTAAATGCAGTTCAGTCCTATGGCATCCTCAAAATCATTGCTATGTTTGAGCCCATTGTTACAGCCAAGGTATCAATCCATCTCATTGCAGGTTGTCTTCTTTTTGCTGACACTCTACTTTACTAAGCATGACATCCTTCTTTATTGACTGTTCCCTCCTGATAATAAGTCCAAAGTACATGAGGTAGGGGGCAGGGGAAGATGGTGTCATACCTATAACCCACACGTTTGTTCCCTTCCCAAATTTAATCCCTAAATAAGTAGGTAAATCAGTTAGAAATAATGATACTGGAGTTATGAGCAACCAAGGAGAAGATGAAGTATCAGATTAAGTGAAGGTGGAGAAAAAGAGCAGATTAAACAACTGGGAAAAATAAAGAAACCTAGCCAGCAGAAATGGACAGACAGAGAAGGAGAGGACCCATCAGAAATACAAAAGAGGTCAGCTGAGGGAAGGAGGGAAAAAAAAAATTACAGAACCCACAGAGATATTGGGGACTCAGAATACCCACACCGGAAGCTTTTGATGGTGATGTTGGGAGCTGAATGAGTATGATAATCTTAGTGGGAAAAAGATCAAGACCCCCCCCCCTTGACTTAGGTTGCTGCAGAGTCCAGAAAGAGTAGGAGAAAGGGAGAAACTCCCTCCAAGTAGGTGGAGACCCGGTGGTGTGAATGCACAGCAGTGGGCTGGGGTTCAACTCTTCAATGACCCCTTTTTAGCACAGTTACAGAGGTTACTGCCACCATCAAGGACTTGAAGGATGCAGGGGTGATGATTCCCACCACATCGCCATTTAATTCACCTATTTGGCCTGTGCAAAAAACAGATGGATCTTGGAGAATGACAGTAGACTATCATAAACTTAATCAGGTGGTGACTCCAATTGCAGCTGCTGTTCCTGATGTGGTTTCA